TGCAAAGTGCCACGAACATGGAATCATAGAATCATTTAGGTTGGAAAAGACCTTTAAGATCGAGTCCAACTGTAACATACCACGATGGAGTGAAAATCGTGGGAGGCTTGCCCCAGTTTTTAGGATTCTGTCCCAGACCGTAGTTCTCTGAATTGACTGGATGGGTGCACCAGGGTCAGGTGGAGAGGAGCTTGCCTGGTGGAAGAGTTTTGGGAATCCCACTGGTTGGCTTTCTGGGCATACCTCTGAAAGCCTGGCCTTGAGGCACCGGCTTTTTTCCATTGACTTAAAGTGTCTCTGCGTGTCTCCGCTCCCTGCTGCTCCACACCAGCTGCTGCTCTCCGCAGCTGCTTGGGAAGATGAAATGAGACCCCATTTTTAGAGGTCACGAAAAAGAGCGCAGCGATTTTGCTGCGCAGGAAGCTGCCTTGCTCTGGAAATGCTGAGCTTACGGTGATGGGTGAGCGCAGAAGCCATCACGCCTCCAAGTCCCCGGTGCTTGGGTTTCAGTGGCGGCGGAGCCCTCTGCGTGTGGAGAGGGCTGGTGGGGTCGGTACCCTGCGGCCGGCAGCTGCCCCGCACGGAGGGGGGACACCAGCGGCACAGCCAGTTTGTCCGTAACCGTTGGCATTGACAAAATTGATTTTTGTGGTTTGAGAGCAGGAGGACAGATTTCATCTCTGGTGGGTCCCCTGACACTTTGATACATGGCAGTGCTATCCCTGAATGGAGCTAAATACTCGAGGGCTACTTTCTGACTGGGTGAAGGGATGTATAAAATGAGAACGTATGAGAGAGTATTAACAGAAAGGCACACTTTGATTTACTGGTACTGGCTCCCAGCTTTCTTGGTGGATTGATATGCTGTCTGCTGGATCTGGAACAACTTTTTCACTTCTGTACACAAAATGAAGGGGCTCCCGTGGACTCTTAAAAGTGACTCTTACAAGTCAGCATCTCACCACAGACACTCCGAGTCCCATTTAAGCTGGAAGTTATATTCAAGCCACGTTTGCTGTGCTCTTGGAGCAGCTGCAGATGGATCCCACTCAGCGTCCTTTTTTTTTTCCCAAAGGGCATCTTTAGAAGAGGTTTGGTGGAAGGAGGGGTTACGTGTTGTCCCGGGGTTAGTTGGCCTCTCCCGCACACAACGTATGGGAGGTTGTTTTGGGGATTTTACGTACTCATACTGAAATGCTGTAAAGGGATCCAGCTCCTTTTGTTTTTAAGGCAGTGCTGAGCCACCTGTCCTCAAAGAACACAGGCTGGATGTGCAGAAGGATCTCCTGGAAAAGGAGAGAGTTTTGAGAATTTTTGTACTATTGTGACACTAATATCCATATAAAGTAGAATATTTACCACAGATATTTACATACTACCCAAATATTTACACTGAGGAGCAGATTGTAAGAGAGATGCAGCAAAGCTGCCTGCAGGGAGTAGGAGAGAAAGGGTGAGAGACGCAGACTGGGGTTACAGGGCTGTAGGCTGTGCCTGCAAAGTTGGGTCGGTAGGGTTTTCCGTACGGCAGCTCAGAGCGGCTTTTGCAGCGCTGTCGCTGACCCTGCCTCGTGTGCTGGGCTGGGAAGCTGGGGGATGTTTAAACATCTGTAGTTGGCTGAACTCGAGAGAGCAAGACCCAGGAGTGATAGTGATGGCAGAGGTGGTGAATAAGCTCTGGGAATAAGCTGCTGGCAAAAGGATCATCCTGTTGGTGAATGAGTGGTGGGAGGGGAGGGCTGTAACAGCATTGTTTCAGCCTTGGCTGGTTTGCGGTGCTTGTGAAAACCATAGTGTCAGTATCTTACTGGTCCTGAAAGCTTTTGAAACTGAGAATCACCAGGGCAGCTCGTGGCAGTGGGAGGCCCATGCTGTGTGGTCAGGGCTGGCATTGCCGGTGCTCTTAGGGGTATTGCTGGCTTTGTTCTGTGAGGGGAGCAGGGAAGGGAGCAGGAGGTACAAACCCGACGGTTATCGCATCTGAAGGCAGCTAGTTAACGTACCAATATGCTTGAAATCTCCATGTTTGTGACTCTCTTCTGTTTAACTGCGTGTTTCAGACAAGGAGCAGCACTGAAAGAACTGTGCTGGGGGGCCTGAGGGCAGGAGAGTTAACGTCTGGCTTGCTTTCACAATGACACAGTTCACGTCTATTAAACAGTTTTGGTTTACGCTGCCTTCCTTCACAAACGGATTCAGTCTTGTCCCCAAAGCAGACGGTGCACAGGCAGATGAGGGCATTAGAGGGAAGAGAAGATGAAGAGGAGACTGGGAAGAAAACAGTCCCTTCTGGAATTAAATGTGGAATGGATAGGGGAGGGCTGGTTGGGAGGCAGGCAGGCGAGGATGACACTTGGCTTCTGAAGTTGAGTTTACAGCACACTTAAGCACCCAGTAGTGACAATGGCAATGCCATCCAATAATGCTGTTAAATACACAAGAACTGAACACACGGAAATTACCCAGCTGTAAGAGGCTCATGATGAAGCCACTGTCTGGAATAATTAGCCCTCCCAACTGGTGAGATGCATGGTCATTGTCTTCCCTGCCCTCCCCATCCCCTTCACTCCAAATAAAACTGCTCCCCATCCCCACTTCTGTTGAGGTCCATATCTCATAGCCGGGGGGAGCTTGAGCCTGTCTTTATTCCTTGCCTGCTTGCCATGGCCCTGATCTACCCCAGAAGAGCTGGAGTGCTACTCCAGTCGTAATTGGCAGGATCAAAGCCGCCTGGGGTGCATTAGCCCTGCTGCTGAAGGATAGGCAGCGGGTAGAAAATAAACAGTTTCGGAAGCTCTGGGGACGTTTAGCTGTGTTGCAGGCGGTGGGAAAGATTTTGCTCTTGTAAGCTGTGCGCTCAGGCTAGGGTGGGGGCAGTTTCCTTTGGCAAGTGATGCTTTAGCTGCAGACACGCACAACAAATGCATTTTAAGGGCTTTTGTCTGTTTGTCTCTTGGAATTGTTTTGATGCTAACACACGACTGTTTTACAAGTATGGCAATCCTAATCTGTTAATAGGTTTATATAGAAGAGTTGTCAGAATGTATCTATAATGAAGCAGGGGCGGGTGGAGCAGTCCAACAGCTGATCTGCAACAAAAATCTTAAGCAGCTTCTCCTTGACATTCCTGTTACTGAGGTCAGGCTGTAATTTATCTGAAGATGGTGACAACTGAGCAGTATCACAGTGGTAACATGGGGGAGATTGAGACCTCTGAATGTCTGGGCTGATTTCTGCTTGCACTGCCTCTGTCTGGGTGATGAAGATTTGCTGTTAGCTCTACCCGTGATCTCTGTGTCCTCCGCTGAACAGAGAAAAAATGGAGTGTTGGGAAGTTCTCTCCATTCTTTTATGCTAACTACAAAGAAAGAAACAGTTTGGGATTTAAGCAAAACAGCCCAACTGACTTTGTGTCAGTGGAGGCACTGGCACTGGGGGTACTGGGGGTAGCTTTGGGAACATCCCATCACCGCGGTGCTCCTCCTGCCCTTCGGACAAATCCATGTGCTCTGTCAGCCAGAGGTACTGCTGCCCTCTTGTCTTGGGTGCGTGGGGAGGGAAGGCAAGCCTGCGTGAACGTAGCCTGCAAGAAAACAGATCCTCAGGTGGTGTGCTACGTTCCTCCAAGCAGTGCATGTTTTCCCCTTTCTGTGGTGCCTCTTTGTAAAACTAGAAGGCGATACACGAGTGTCAGGTAAATATAAATTAATCTGTGTGAAGTTCAGGTTAGGTTTTTTGATAGAAGCGTGCTAAGTGTTTTACCGGTAAGAGCTGACCCTGTGATTGATGTGTAGCTGTGTACAAAGGGAGAGTTTGTGTAGGCCTAGACAAACACTTGTTCTATATTAGAGTGTTCTGCAGGGAGGCTTGTTGGTTGCCATAAAAGCACTATTTTTAAAGAACAGATGCTGCAACAGTGTGCAGTTAACCCTTCCCACAGTCAGCAGCAACTGTGTGTCCTTGGAGAACACGAGATCATTGGAACAGAGATAGTTTCCTCTGCATCTGCATAGATAGGGGAAAATTGTCAGCCTCGGAAGCCTTTGGATACGCAGCATCAGGTCTACATTCGGAATTTGTGTCTGCAAATACCCTGGAAAGTGACTACTCATCCCTGTAAAATTAACCTTCACACCATGTATTGATCATTTTGTACACCTCTCCATCCCAATCCTTTCTTCTCTGTCCCACTTTTTAAGGAACTCTTCAGATCTGGGACCTGCAGTTCTGCTTTCTTTATCAGAATCATCTCACTAGACTTGCCAGGTCATTGTTTAAGTTCCTCCCATAGATCAGCTCTTGCTACATTTAATTTTACTTAGAATCTAATTTCTTACACCTCCTACGTGGCGAACACAGCAGCATAGAAACCAGCCGTAGTCACAGCCCTGCAGGAGTTCGGTTTTTCTTCTTGCCTTCCCTCCTTCTGCTCCCTATAACCGGAACAGTGTCTACAACAAAGAGGAGTCAGAGGTCAGGTTTAGATGGACTGTACATATGGACATCTTCTCTTGCATTGTGTCATATTGTTCAACTGAAGCTGACTTCTGCTGCAGAATTTAACACAGGAGAGAAATATTAGTCAGCAAAAAAGGTCATTGTCATATGCGTGTGCCATCAGGCACTTCTACACACAGTACTTGCTTCAGTATGTTAATCCTTTAGGCTCTGCAGTCTGAATGTTTGTTGATGAAACATTAGATCAGTATCCTCCCAGTGTGCAGCCAGGCAGATGTTTAGAAGGCAGTCCTCCCTCCCTTCCTCCCTTTTTAGGAAAGAAGTGCTCTTTCCCAGCGTAGGGGTGTTTGACACTAATGGCTATAAATCAGTTTGAAGATAAAACCACATCTCTAACTAGTTAGAGAAAAACAGTTAATGGGACATGCAGTAGCTGTGGCAGAAATTCAGATTCAGGATGAGAAACTAAGTGCTGCAAAGCTATGGTTTTCACCTGAAGCAAGGATCAGTGAGAAATGTCACTTGTGTCTCCTGTTCTGCAGGTTGCAAAGCCCTGGAGGCATTGCTGAAAGTATTAGTGGAACTTCAGGATGAGCTGCTGTATCAATACCCAGGCACGAGGCATCTGGTAGATGGAAAGCAATCAAAAACTGAGAGGTAAATACCAAATAAGACCTCTCTGAATGTTTTGGTCTCCAACTCTCCGTCAAACAGGACAATTGACCATGCTTTTGGCTGTTCTCTCAGTTCCTGGTCTGTCTGGGTGAGAGACACTCTGCACAGATGACCTTTTGAATGCCTTCTGCCGGTGTGGGAAGTCTGCTTTGTAACCTTTCTGATAAAGGAGGAGGGGCTAAACCATGGGTCTTCTGGCATAAATACCACCATGGTGTGGAAGAAGCATGGGTGGTAGTGGAGGGGCCATTAAGGATTCACACATGTTGCATTAGAAGTGTAAGGTGTTTTTAGGTCTGTGTATTTTTGTTTTAGTGATGATGAAATCCCTAGCAGTAGCGATGAAGAGCGAGTAGATAAGGCTCAGGAGAAGAGGAGGAGCCTCCCCAAACGAAAGCTGAAGATGGAGGACTACCCAGAATTCATAGCCAAGCGGTATGCTGACTTCAGGACGTATCGGAACAACGTCTTGCAAGAGTGGCATGAGAAGACAAAGCTGGCATCTGGCAAAATGGGAAAGGCAAGTCTCTATGTGTGCTGACGTGCTTATTGTTTAGTAGAGATTTGTGGAACAAGTTGATTTGAAAGTTCCATGTCCTGGATGCTCCAAGTTAAGCTGAGAGTTACAGCAGTAAGAATTAAATACACAGGTACACACTTTTCCCCAACCATAAGTGAGTTTGGAGAGAAGCTCAGCTCTCCGATTTCAAAGCCATAAGCTGCTCTCTTTTGTTTCGAGCAGATGGCCAGGAAAAAGTTTTTCAGGGGCAGATTATTTCCCAAATTTTGGGAAAAACTCTTGGATAGTATTGGTGTTCTCCCAACCGGACACCTCATCATAGCTAGTCTCCAGCAGCAAGAAAGCGCTGTGAAAATGCCACTGTTGCAGATCAGCAAGCTGTTGTGTTTTATAAGAGAACCAGAGGCTTCTGTGCTCTCCTCCTCCACAAACTGTATGCTTTAATACAATGGGTAATCATTTCATCCGAAGATCCAGGGTCTCCTAACATCTGTGAGTTAGTATTAATCACTGAAAAGTTCATCTGAACCAGAACAGCAAAGGCATTTTATTAAGTCAGGCGTCAGGTTGCCTCAGGTTGGGAAGGGAGGGAGGGGGAGCAGCAAATAAAAAATCCTAGCAAAAATCCCTGCAACGAAGCCCAAACCCCCTCCTCTTGGAATACTGTCTGCTTATTCACTGACATGGAAAGATAGAGGAACATTGCTGCCTTGAGGAAAAGCTTTCTGCATTATCTGACACTAGTTAATGTTGTTGCAGGGTTTCGGTGCCTTTGAGCGTTCAATCTTGGCTCAGATTGATCATATTATGATGGACAAAGAGAGATTGCTACGGCGGACGCAGACCAAGCGATCAGTGTATACAGTGCTGGGAAAGCAGGAACAGGAATCTCATCCAGTCCCCGAGTCTTTGCCTGAAAATTCGGTAAGGGGATTTTGTTTATATAACTCATCCTGCAGAAGCAGTGAAGCTCTCTGCAAAACAATTAGCTTGAGTCTTTAGCAGGTAATATTCTTGTTTGTGAGAGATTTATGAAAGAGATATCTGAGTGTTGATTCCTGTAATGTAATGGCTAAGAAAGAGACGTAGACATTTCAGTTCCGGTTTTATGGTGTTTGCATTATCTCCTGTGCCAGTTCTTGACAGAGGAAAACAAGGTTTGGTCTGTGATTGTGCCCTTCCTAAGGTGTAGGAACTGATGCTCACTCAGTCTGCTTTTTGACATAGTAGCTACAAAACTTGGCTTTTATTCTGGAGGTTAGAATCTTTAACCCAGAAAGTCACTTCTAAAATCAGACTGCATATAACCTGTAGAATATGTTAGTAGTAAGTCTGTTATTAATTTAGTATTTAAGCATGAATAAATACTCAATTCTGAGAGATCATGTAGAATTACTGCACTTATAAGATATATTTTTGCCATTACATTAAAAATACCTTTAGTATTTTGCCAGGAAGACTTTGCACGGTCCTATTTATTTCCCAGTAAAGGTGTCATAAATCTGTTTTGGCTCTGGCAGCATTTCTGCCTTGCCTTTAAATGTATTCCTAGTCCCTAAAAACTTGTTACGCTGGGAGGTTTTCTCCATTTCTTCCTATCTTCAAACGTGTTTACAAGCTGCTGCATGTGATGTCATCTGAGCTGGGGACAGAAACGGGCACGTGCTCGTGAAATGAGCCTTCAGTATTTTCTTTGTGCTTATAGGAAGTCCTTCCTCAGGCAGATTCCAACAGGCACCTGAAGGACATAGATGAGGAGATATTTGATGATGATGACTTTTATCACCAGGTAGGTGATGGTAAATCTGTGTTGGGATTACGGCTGTGGTTGGTTTTTAATACTTCCCGAACTAATGCGCTCGGTTCTGTGCTCCAAACTTCTCTTAGCAGTGAAACTCAAGTTACCTGTTTTCACATCCGATATCTTTGTAGACCCCTCAGAGGCTTCACTCTCAACTACCAGTGTAGGGCTACGTGAGCTTAAACTTGCATTGTGGGTGTAACCTTTGCTGTGCTTGGGTGAGCCAGGGTTGCAGGGTAAGGTCTGTGTCTGTCCTTCTCGCTGGGCAACACTGCTGCACAAGAGAAAAATGACTGAATTCTCTGAAGGGGACTGTTCTCTGTGGGTAGAGTCCCATTATGAAAAACTATTCTAGCAGACCCTCAAAAGCACCGGAGTTACTCTCATCTCAACCTGAATCATCTCATCTACCTCCAGAATGAAAAAGCTGCAGGGCTTCTCTAGCACTTTTCTTGGAGTTGTGCCAGCTTGGATTTAGCCCAGCTATTACTGTTACTTGCAGAATTCTTAGAAACAAGGAATCTGCACCCAGTGCATGGAGACTGCAGCTTAGGGAAACGTTGTGTTTGTAATTTATTTAATAAATGACAGTGCTAGCATTATGAAGTACTGAAATTGCCATGTATTGAGGAGTATGATTCACTCTAAGTCTTTCCCCAGTGCACGAAAAACTAGTTTTGCTCTGATGATCCGCAGAGAGCTTTAACTTCAGGACTAAACAAATATCATTATATCATGAGAAAGGCAGAAAGTTCTGATCTGAATAGTTATTAGAGTGGCTAGTAAAGTGTTAGGGCAGTGGAAGAGAGCTGTTGCCATGTGACTCTGATAACTGATTTAACCAGAAGCATTTGCATGCTTTCAAAATTTGAGGTTTCTTCTACAGAGCCAGAACTAAAGATGAATAAAAAGATGTATTAAATTGATAATTCTTATCTGTGTTTTGTGGGTAGGAAGTATGGAGAACTTTAATGCTGCCTTTTTTTCCCCCTCTGAGGTTTTCTGCACACTTCCAACCCTACTGCTGTAGACATCCCAGAAGATTTTTGCGGTAGATCTCACCTAGTGCGGAGTTAGGACAATATGGATATTTAATGTTTGTCAGCGATCTATTCAAGGCAGCCTGCCTCAGAGCCCGGAATGTGTTCCAGGCTAGCTCTTCTGCAGGCTGTGTGTTTATTGTGAGAGCATCGCTGCTGGTATTGCTGTGAACTGAGCAGCATCTCTTGGGTAGGTGAAGATGCCAGGTTCATCTGCGTAGGCTCTAAATTGGCGATGGGAGGGTGCCTGTTGTTGACGGCAGTGGCTGAAGAGGCCAAACCTGTAATGCAGTGAGACAATACTGAAGTGAAATTTAGGGTCCAAGTGGACCAGAAGCCCAGCTTTGGGGGCCAAGTGGCCCTTAAGGACACAGAACACGTTAGTATCGCAGAAGAGTGAAGTAGTCGAGGAGAAATAGCGGTGATCGGCAATCTGTGGTCCTGTGCAGAGAAGGTGCTTATTGGCCATGAAATGTTAAGTTTTTAAAAGAAAAATAGCAATAGATGAATGGCTCGTCTTTACTTCTAATAACTTTAACTTCGATAAATAGTGATTTCAGAAATATGACTAGTCACAGCTTAGCTTTTCCCCTCGCTGGTTAATTGGGGTGCTGGGGTTAATCTAAATTAAAACTTAAACTAATAGAGGTCATTGAGGGAAGAGAATCACCTGAGTAAAACAAATGGGTCTGCCAGGCACAACTGTATCTTGGCCATTTCCCAAGAGGGAAGTGGCAGCAAATTGGAGTTGTTTCAGCATTCGGTAGAGGTGAAGGATGGGTGACACTGTTTTAATGTACGGCACCTCCGGAAACGTTCCAGATTGCATTTCTTGCTGTACCAACTGCTGCCTCCCGCGCACAGTGAATGGGAGCAGGATCAGCCAACAACATCTGGCAGCACAGCAAGGAATGGGTGCAACTTTCGAAACCCCATAGACTCTAAATATGGTGCTTAGCCTGGTGGAGGCTTTAATCACTTACCACTCTTTGGCAGCAGGCTACGACAGCTTATCCTAGCCTCGTACATCACGCACAGACATCTGCTGAGCCGCGAGGCAGCCACACATTCATTTTCCTTTCTCGCTTGGTGTGGGGTTTTTTTTTATCCTTCCCTCCCTCTCTCCCTCCCTTCCACCCTTCTCCTCTCCTCCCGTCCCCAATATGCTTCTTGGGAGAGATGATCTGTAAAGATTACTGCTTCATTGTGTGCAAGTAATTGTGGGGATGCCAGCCCCTTGCCAGCCACTGTGCAGCACCCGTTCTGCTGACCTGGTTAATGTCTGCTCTTGAGTGGGATTTGGCAGAGATTGGAGCTGAAGCCAATTCAGCGATAAGGCGAAAGAAAATGGCTGTATGTTTTCTGTCACCTCCCAATTAAATTGGTTTCATAAAGTGCTTTCCTTTATTTGTCGGGGGGTAAGCTGAAGCTGAGCGTCGCATTCAGAAAGGGCAGAGTGCATTACAATAGAGCGCTGACAGTACGGTGAATGTGTTTTCTTTCAGATGGGTCATAACTGTGCAGCGCCTTTGTGCGCGCGTGTGATTGCGTGTGTGGGTGTACATGCATAATAAAACGTGGAAAGGGAACTGGTTCTTCTGGAGCGACAGGCAGCAGTGTCTCTGGTTGTCAGAGCTGCGGTGGCTCAGAAACTCTGGGCCTGTTGGGAAGTCTAGGTGTGAATTCCAGCGGGCGCTTTTCTCTTCGTATTTAAATTTACATCCAGACTTAGCATCACATTCATCTTTTTAAATGGCATTTTATAATGGTTAGTTTATTTTGATTGCTGCTTACGGTTTATTGAAGGTGTATGTTCAGGTAAAAAAGGACAGTGGAAACCAACTTCAGTGTGAAATTAAGCAAGTGAAAATGGACGAGATCTGGTGAATTGCACAAGTTAGTGATAACAGAGTAAGTAGCTGTACACTTTTGTTATAGGTTACAATACAAAACTCTTTAATTAATCTGGTTTTCCTGTGGAAAAAACAATTTCCTTGTCCAGGTCTTGGTATTCGGTGGAATTCGCCATGTGGGACTGGTGGAATTATGCGATGATTCAGGACTTACTCTGTTCTGTCCGTTCATCCCACTTTGCCTTTTCTAATAGTCTTCACTTGTTTTATAAGCAGTTACAATGTCTATTCTGGTGGGCTATGTTGAATGGTAATGTAACACTGAGCTGAATAATGCAGGTGAAATATTCGTATTTGGGTTGCGCTGGGTGTGAATAGGTAAACTTTCAGGAAGATCCTCGTTGCTGACAGCAGTGAGAGCCTAGACCGTGTTTCCTTTTCTTTTAAACTTTCCTTCATACCTGGTTTTAAGGGAAGAAAAAGGTTTTTTATTTTTAGAAGTCATATTTATGTAGAATTCATTACAGCTGATATTGCAGCATTAAGACTTAAAATTCCAGCCTGCTACCACAGAGCTGCCGGTCTGACATGCTACAGTGGAGATTTTATTATTAGGTTGAAATACTCCTCTAGTAAAGGAGAGAGTGGAAATTGGTTTATTTCCAACAGGAATTAGGTTAGTGTTCATATGCTAAGCGTTCCACTGGTAGCAGCTCTTCCCAGAACAAATGTTCATCATTGATGGCAGCAGGTATGCCTAAGGAGAATTAGGAATATACATAATCCCTTTTTTTCTTCGCTCTCCTGCTCCCTCCTCCCCTGGTTTTGGTCGTGTTGTATGTCACCACATTTTATAACAACCCGCAATCACCAGTTTTGTCTGTGATCACCACAACTTCCAGAAGCTGAGCAGAGCCAAAGTGGTTGGGGAACATGCAGTGAGATGCTGAAGTTTTCAAACCGGGATGCCCGCAGTTTGCCAGGCGAGAATGCCACTAGGTTGTCATCCCTCAGCTGTGTACTGCGTTGTGTTGAAATGAGCTGTTACCCTCTGGGATTCACTCCCAAGGTGAGCACGCTTGAACAGTGAGGAAGAGGCTTGTTCCCTTCCTTATCTATACCCAAATACTGAGGAAATGAGTTGATCCTGTAGAAAACGTTGTTTAATTGTAGGACTTGTAACTTTATTGTTGTCCCTCACGGAGTGGCACTGCATGTGCCTGTGCCTGTGCCCGCTCTGTGGGACAGATGGGGTGTTTACAAGGGAGCAAGAGATCTCACAAGCTTCCTTTTTCCTAGCTTAGTGCTCACAATGCCTGCCTTAGTCTGAGCAACCACAAAGTGAACTTCCAAGTCTGAATCTCTTGTTTAGATACTTGTAGCTCAGTTTGTTTCCTTTCTGGGTTGTACTTGTGTCTAAATCACATTGTATGACTTGTTGGAAAACTTTATGGGATGGGGTAGATTCTACCTTGTGTCCCAAGCAAGACTTGGCCTGAAATAGTTCTGGGGCACATACCGTGGTTTTCTCTCCCAGGTATTTGATAATGCCATAAACAAGTAATTACTAATCCAGTGAACTATTAAAAGTCGATAATGGTGAAGAATAGAGAGAAGACTGGCTTCCTGACAAGCTGGTTTACCTTAATTAAACTGGTGAGTGATTAATACGGACAGCTGATCTTGTGGCTTTAATTAGATGCATTTAGAGTTTTGTGTGAATAAGAGATGTCTCGAACCATCCCGCAGGTTAATGGCAATACAATACTCTTATCACAGGCATGTATCTTTCAAATGGCTGGGTAGATGGTTAATAACATGTTTTAAAGCTTGGTTTGAAACTTCTCTTAATGGGTTATTAGAAAATATGCAAGTAAATGCCTATTTTATACAAAACTGAATTTTAATAAATTTTTTTTTAAAAAGAGGCTGTCCCGTGATTTCCTCTCACTGTTGAGGTTTTTACATTATAAATAGATTCCAGAAAATGAAAGCTTAAAAAAAGTATTTCAGGGGGGTTTAAAAACAGCATTTGAGCAGCAGTCTGGATTTACTCTGGTGTAGCTAGAAATTGCAAAAGGGGTTATGCTGCTGC